GTATGACTGAACCTCCATCACTAAGAAGAAGCGCATTAATATGGCAATCAGAGAAAACCAATTTAATTGCTGTCTAGTTACAGAGACTATTATAATTGTGTCGTGTATGTTTTTAAAACTCTTAACTCAATTTGTGACAGTGGCTGAAGACAATGGTTTCAAGGGATTGCTTGGTTAAACGGGTATTCCTGCATGAGGTCTGAAATAAACAGTAATAAGCAGCGTGGTATAGCTGAATCATGTATTCTCCAGACAGATTTTATCCAAGGATTAATGAATCACATTAATTCAAGAGGAGGATAATAAATTGGGATTAGCTATGGGTGGAGAGGACATTTCTTTCTGGCAGAGAACTAAAGCCATCTGACCAATTTAGGGCAAATGGGAAGCCCAAACACACCGGAGGACCTTTTAATGGGGGAAATGAAGACTACAAACACTTGACATACTTAACTGTGAATTGACAAAGCAGAACTTCTACTTGAACTTTATACAGAGTAATAGACATTCAAGTAAAGCTTATAGTTGTTTTCACTGGCCACATCCCCACTGATGCTTCTGTTCTTGAGATAAAAGCCTTATAAATCTCATCACAGCTAAGTTTAAATGCATTCTTTGTAAGAGACGTACGCAAACGAACAAGCCTAAACAGCACCAGCGCTCTTAGGGTGAGCTATCGGGACATTATCAGTAACTTAATAAAGATTCCCTTAAAATAACTAACTACAAAAGAAGAAATCATGCGGGAAGCATCCCCTGTGTGATTATATATCAACGTCAAATGCTCTCAGCACTTCAAAACAAATGGTACGTTTAAAGAAGCTGTTAATGACAGACTCGATGTAATGTATAACTCTCGTGAGCCATCCAATTCTCTCAGCAATAACAGTCTTAATGCAAACTGGAGATGTGCTTTTCATGGGAAAATGAAATAAATAAATCATTCATCGCCTCTGGACAAAATTGCTGAGCTTTGTGAATAATGCAGGCAAGTGTTAAAGGCTTATTAAAATGCTTCTCTGCTAATTGTGTCCTAATTGCACTGCATCTCTTCAGATAAAGGGATGACAGCGTTGATACGGTCATGCGTCACTGTGTAGCTAATAAAATAGTCAACCGTCTATTAATTACAGTTGACCTTTAAAATCACAGACTGGGAATGGGGAAAGCAGGTTTGCGTCTGGAGTGTTTGTGTACGCCAGTCGCTCTGAAAGGCTCTCCGTGCACCTCACTTTATCACAGACCATTTGAGTCAGTCTAACCTGCAGCAGATGTGGTGAGTAATGACCATCATTAATTCAGCCCCAGCACACCTTTCGTTCAGACAGAAATAATGGCTCTTCTGGGCCACCTGCACAGCGGAGAAACGAGGATAACCTCTAGTCCGAAGAAGAAGACTGAAATCATCTCTTATAATAGCACACACATATGGTTAAATATTCAAGAAGAGTCCCAAACACACAATTCCACCATTTTATCCAACGATGCACATGCATAATGTAGTTCAGTAAGTGCTTTGTAGGACTGGTCTCCTATTCTTAGACCAGTTTTTTTTATTTTTTTTTTGAGATGCTGCACTGCATATGAAGAGGGTGGAGTCAGTCCACCCAAACAGAAGCAACACTTGATGGGCTGCTCCAATTTATACCGTAAATAATTCAGGATGGAAGCACTGCAGTGAGAGTGAAGGATAGTGTTAAAACAAGGGTTCTAAAAAAAAAAAGAAGGAATAAAAAATGTTTACTTGTTTTGACTAGGGAGTAAAGCATTCATACATGGTTCTAACATGTGGCATATTTTATTTATCTTCAAATAAACCAACCAAGAAAGGGCCAGTTAGCATAGCATCATTATAAATCAGAATATATGAACCATATATTTCAGCACACACTATTAAACTTGAATTTTGCATATTTTATTAAAATATTCATTTATTTTTAGTAGGGATGCTCCGATCAGGATTTTTGCAGCCGATAACGAGTACCGATTCCTTGTCATGGTGATCGGCCGATACGGAGTCCTAATTCTGATGCTCCAGGCTTTACAATGCATTAAGCACATTTTCCCTCTAAGTATGATACTTAAGTAGAGATCTCAACTTACCTAAGAGAATAAATGAAGGATATTGCATATAATGTCTCAAACACGTCTCTTATAACCATTTAGGTGTAAAGCTGCTTTACAGAACATAATGGATAGCAGACAAAAAAACATTGGTTAGAAAAATGACTAATAATGCAATTTGCAAACAACATGTCTGAATCAAGAAAAACTTTGGATTCCTATGCATATTTGATGCATAGGAAGTTAAAATGCACACCTATATATCCATTACTTCTTTAGTAAAAGGAAATAGGCCTATAAACTACTGTTTATTGCAATAAGTAAAGTGAACTTACAATCTTGTCCACACACAGAACTTTCAGTTCTTATATGTAAAAAAGGCCTAAATAATATATGCAAGGTCATTTAAATATTTTGCTCATCTCCAACTAACACAAACACTTGTGATCAGTTCATGATATTGGCCAAATCAGTGTACTAATCGAGTCATTACATGTGATTATCGGCCGATACCAATCTCTGGTCGATCGATCGAGTCACCTTATTTTTATAATTCATGGATGAAAAATATATATTATTATTTTAGTATTTTGTATCATATTTATGTTTAGTCATTTTAGCAGATGTCAAAGCAGAGGGCCAAACACCAAATGTCATCAAGAGCCATGGGCCTAAAAGACATGCTCAGCATAATTGAGTACACGCCATTTTAAAAATAAATATTTCTATCCATTTCTCAGTGAATAGGCAATGTATTTTTGTGCATTTAAACAAAACAAATTTATTAAACAGATATAATTATTAAAATAATATTTTAGTTACCAAAAATATACACTGTAGAAATTGAAAGATAATACAATTAAATAAAATAAAGCAAAGTATTGAAAAGAAAATGACAAACTACACTAACTAAATTAAACAAAACTAGATTTTTCAATTTTTTGCTGCTCTTTTCTTTTCCTTTTTTTTAAATTTGTTTTTAATATTTTTGTATAACATATACATTTGGGTGTACTGGTGTTTGTCTGTTGTCGTAAGTTATTTGCTAGATAAGCTCCAGATCTAGCTTCAGTACTGACTAATCTAATATGCACAAATTTAATATTGAATAGCTTTTTATTGAAAATGTTAATTCAAAAGAGAGATTTGTGAGGGCTGTACTTATATATGCTGACCACTGTAAATATAACAAACTACATTACATTCAAGTTACCACATGTAATTTCCTAATTTACTTCATAATATTTCAAAAAAAAAAAAAAAGAAAGAAAACATTACCTAAAATTGAATTAACTAATACAGGTTTAATTTTTAAATGATAACTTATTGCAATGAAAACAAACAATCACATATGTTAACAATAAAACAACTTTTTTACAATAAAACAAACAAAAATTAATATTAATTGACAATCTCGAATCCATCTCTATCATTCTCCCTCTCTTCTCAGATATGGTGGGCCAAATCATAAGATACCATTGGCCAACTTTGGCCCGCGGGCCCTAGTTGGGGCATCTCAGGTTTAGAGATCTTAGGCTTACAAACAGGATCCACAATAGATATCTTCAGACAGAAAATAGCATGTTCTTTAAGCTGTCCCATGGTAAATCAAAGCATTCTTTGCTGTAAACATTTCTCCATTTAGGGAACAAAAGCAATGCCAAAAGTATTGAAATAAAAAGCTTGTCACATAGCACTAACTGAAAAAAAAATAATACATTGAATTAACAACTGCTAGCATTTTAATGACTTGAATTGCTGGGGTTTGTAATTTTATGTACTGAAATTTAACAAAGCTATTTGTTTAAGCTGTGAATATTTAAATTCAAAACACATTTTCATACTTAAATACAATAATCAACATTTAACTTCCAGATTTCACTTTCAAAATATTCACAGAATATGTTTTAAAATATGGAGTATAATATTCAAAAGGCGATTTTCAGTTCATTTTATTTCCTTAAAAAACTTCTTTACTGATTTATTAGACCATACATTTTTCTTTTGCAACTGTGCAAGAATTCATTATGACCTACAGCATGCAATAAAGTTAAAATTAAACATGAAGTTAAAAAACATGGCTCTCACTTTCGTTTTAGATATGACATGAGAGGAGGTGTGGCTTACATAGATTGAACCATCACTCTCACCTTGATTGAACTGTCAAAACCAAAGCTGACTAAACTCAAATACGCTCCATTCAAACAACCCACTCTAAGTACCACTGCAGAAAGAATGGGCTAAACTCCTTTCATTGCCTTATACTGAAACTGTAAATTATTCCTACTCAACTTACACACCATAAAGATACCATTATTCATTTTAAAGACATTTTTATAAAGGAAGTTTGGACAGGACTCAATATAAATATCTAACATCCTTTAATTTGCTATATATAGGCTATGCAATATATTAGAGAAATGGTTAACACTTTATTTTGATGGTCCACACTTGAGTATTAGCAGACTGCTTAATATCTGTTGATACTGCCCCTTCAACAGACATTTAACTGACTAAAAGAAACTTTGCAAGTACATGTCAACTTACACTAACCCTAACCCCAACCTAACAGTTTACTCATAATCTAATAAGAATTAGTCAGCATGCAGATGCAATGTAACTTAAATTCAACAAAAGGACAATGAAAATAAAGTGTGAAAGAGTAATGTTTTAGTGTTTGGTTCATTACACTACAAGATAAAACATGAAAGAATGTATAAAGGTCTCAAAGTGAAAAGACATCCTCAAAGTCACGAAAACTTTAATTACGATGACATTCGGTTCCACTTAGAAATAAATAATACTTGTTTACTTATTAGTAAACACTACTGGTCTGTCATGTTTAACAAGGCTGTGTTATTGTGATTTTCTTGAGCTGCAGAGATAAAATGATGAATGACTGGGCAAAGGCCACGACCATTTGACCATAAACTTACCCAACCTCCATTTTCCTCGATCCAGTTTTCCAGTGGCCCGTTCAGGTAGTCAGTCATCCAGTGTGCAATATTATCTACCTGGGACGCCATCTCCCGGTTGACGCTTTCCACGCACATGGTCCCACCAAACTCGAAGAATGCAATGATCCGCCCCCAGTTCACTCCGTCTCTAAAGAGCTCTTCGGCCACGGTTAGAAAGCTGCGTTGCGCAGAATTTGGGTTGAACACCATTTGTTGGGACATTTCCTCAAATTCGCGTTGGTAAATCCTTTCTATTTCATCTCCAGCATCCCGTAACACCCGGTAGAGCCTCAAATGAGGGTCTGAACGAGTGACCCGGGCTATCAGGCATTCAGAGTTGTTCCCTCCGCCGGCTGAGGGAGCCTGAAGCCTCCTGTCAGAGTTTGGAGAGGATTCCTCCACTGCTTTATTGAAGGTGTCATCTTCCTCAGCAGAGGACTGACATTTCCACACATATCCTCGCTTTGAAAGTTTATGCTTGAGGTATTTCTCCACAATATTCCGATTGTCATAGCTAATTTCGTTAGCCATGGTTTTAAATCACGATAGAAACGCGCGCGAGCAGGAAAGAGTCGGTTATTCGAAGTGCATGGTAACGGAAAAACGGTCTCTCAACGAGAAAAGCTGGGGAAAATGTCAAATTCACATCGCGCTGATGTGAATTCTGTCATTAAAATGCAATATCTGAGGCAAATGTTATAATTTAGCATCACATTCATTGGTTGCGACTCGTTAAAATGTTAGTTTTTAACTTTATATCCAGAACTGGCTGCAAACCCTCACGTCCAGAGCGCGCCGATTGATGGATGAATTGGCGGTTGCTGCAGTGCGCGAGCGCGGCGCGAGGAATGACCCTTCACTGCTCAAACTCACTGCGCTTTTCTATTACACTCCACTGGATATCCACCCAAAAGCGCACTCACATACAAAAAACACCGTACGTCGTTGACGTTACAGGACTGAAGGAGAGAGTAAAAGCAAACGCAGTATTTCTAAATATTCCACTGACATTCGAGGTCCCAGAAAAGACGGAAGAGAAAATAGCAACCAAGTCAGCGCACGAAGCACTTTTCCTCGTGTCAGATGGACAAGTATATTTCCATGCTGTTTTGGCAAAACGCAGTTTCTCCAACGCGCGGTGCGGATCGTGCAGAATTTACGCGTGCTCCGTCACCGCCGACGAATGACATCGAGGCTGGCGCGTTCATTGAAGCGACGCTCAGTCAGAAACTGTTGTAACTGAAGCTGTTTGAAGAGCACTCTCTGCGAGGGGGCGGGCTTCCTTACGTCACGCCATTCATTGTTTTGGCATACGTAGTAGGATGTTGATATTTAATAGTGTCTGCGTTGGTGTTTGAAGTGCACTTCTTTTCATTCGTCAAAGCTTCTTTTCAACATCCCCCCGGGACTCCATACTTCAGGCGTGTTTGTAAGTGCAGGGGTTTCACATTTTGACAAATGAATTTCTTAGGGAACCAAGAAGTGTCGTAACACGTTTTGCTCAAACGACTGAAATGTTTTTTTTGTTTTGTTGTTTTTTTTAACTGTCTGCGCAATATGGTGCAGTTTAGATGTGTACACTTTATGTGGTAATTTACAAACCGACATAAGGATAATGCTAATAATCTTATATTAATTATGGGGAGAAGTGGAATTATTTGTGTGTAGTAAATAATAATGCAGGTTGTTTTAGTTCAATTAATTGCATATATTTTACATTAATTGTAGCTAAATAAATGTCATTTTCTCCAACAAAAACAATCTAAATGACAATGTTTTTACTTGAAATTTGGAAATGTTGACAATATGAACAATATGCTGAAATACATACCTAGTATATCCAGTATACAGAGGATGAATAGATATATATACAAGTAGGAACAGTAATTTTCTTTTCAATTATAAATCTAATAAACATTTATGATAAGTATGTTAAGTTTAACTAGTTTAACCACTAAACCTAATAAGCAGTTGTAGATTAATTTAAATTAAGCAATGGCAGCGGGTTCTTACATGGTCTTACAGGGTCTACAACAGGGTGTCTCCAGGGTCTTTAATTTTGTAATTTTAAGACTTTCTAAGTCATAAAATTCTGGTTTAATTTTTTTTTGTCTTGTAGGTCTTAAATCATTTAAACTAGTCTTAATTTTTCTATGTCCATGTAAAGCTACTCAATCAGGCAAAAAGTCATCCAATCACCCACAATCCATCTCAATAAAACATTTAACAATGCTTTGTTTATAACTAATATTATAATAGCTAATTTAATAGCTTCATAACCAATATGGGCTGCACAGTGACGCAGGTTGTGCTCTCGCCTCACAGCAAGAAGGTTGCTGGTTCGAGCCTCGGCTGGGTCAGTTGGCGTTTCTGTGTGGAGTTTGCATGTTCTCCCTGCATTCGCGTGGGTTTCCTCCGGGTGCTCCGGTTTCCCCCACTGTCCAAAGACATGCGGTAGTGTATGGGTGTTTCTCATTGATGGGTTGCAGCTGGAAGGGCATCCGCTGCATAAAACATATGCTGGATAAGTTGGCGGTTCATTCCGCTGTGGCGACCCAAGATTAATAAAGGGAGTAAGCCGAAAAGAAAATGAATGAATGAAAATTCTTTGTGTATTTATAGACCATATAGGTGGAGGACACTGCCCTGGATCGACTGTTGCATATGCATGCATTTAGTTTATTATAATTTTTAAAGCGCCTATAATAGTGTTGATAAAAATGAGTATGAATACAGCTTCTTTGACACATTATGTAAAATATGTGGCTAAGAAATAACTAATTTATTTTTTGACGGGGCAAATCTTTTCCAATAGATCAACTGGGCTGTTAGAAAAACATCCTTAGCATGCAGATCTGTATAAGTCTAAAATATCATACATAATGTTTTTAAAAAGTCCTAAATCTCGTTGAGTCTAAATCTATTTAACCATCTAAAACTATATTAAACTTTATTAAATATCTCTTCTATCACTTCTAAATATTAACTGCACAATTGTTTTGTGAACTGCAATAAATAAACAATATATAAGCACTTATACGTGCTTTCGTTTTTTACACAGACACACATTTACAGTACAAAAAAATATTTTTGGCTCTTGGAATGTGATTAGATAAACTCGCACATCTCAGCCAATGACACTCTGTCACACCCTCTCCACCCCAGCCAATCCTGTAAACACATACTAAAACTCTCCAGTAGTCAGGTATCAGGTTAGATGTACCACATGCTTTGTTCTCAGCACAAACAGAGCCAGAACACACACTGAAGCAGGTTAAATTCAGTGCATTTATTGGAATTTTCTCACAGGTTTATATTTTAAGGCTGCCAGTTAAACAGCATTGAGTTTGGAACGCCTCATTAGTGCAAACCTGATACATTCTCTGTCGTCACATCGCAATGCATTTATTTCCACTGCTTCTTTTCGTAGTCCCACTTATGAGCGAATCCAGTGATGGGGTTCACTTTCATATCTAACATCCTCTGAGTCTGTTTTTCAATCCACTCCTGAGAGAGTGTGTGTGGAACGTCGCCGTACACTGCGGAAAGAGACATAAAAATAAGTGTGTTGAGAATGCTCTTATTGTTTATCTATAAATCAATCTGTAAGCGTTAAATTAAAAAAAGAGTGTTGGATCAGGTATGAAAGTCGGCTAATTGTGCAAAATCCCCATCCATTTTTTCCCTAGGTAGAACTGTAAACTAATTTATGCTCACGGCAAAGAACAGAGAACAAAAAATTAACAAATTAGAAAACACAATTGTGTCTCTGCATTGTGCACAATATCTCGGTGTAATATCACAAAACTGGTTTATGTAAAACTGGGGTTAATAAACATGCAAATGCACTCGGTCAAAGAAGAAAGGTTGCACTGCAGGTTCTTTTGCTATTTCTAAGTCTACATGTGAAAAGGCTTCTACTACAATATTATAATTTTGTATTTTAAAGTATAAGCATAATAGCATACTGGCCACTTTATTAGGTACTCTTTACTAGTACTGGGTTGGTCAAACTGTAGATTTGTCGGCTGCACATCCATGATGCAAATCTCCCTTTCTACATCCTAAAGGTGCTCTATTGGATTGAGAACTGGTGACTGTGGAGGCCATTTGAGTACAGTGAACTCATTGTCATGTTCAAGAAACCAGTCTGAGTTGATTCATGCTTTATGACATGGCACAATATCCTACTGGAAGTAGCCATTAGAAGGTGGGTACACTGTGGTCATAAAGGGATGGACATGCTCAGCAACAATATGCAGCAGAAATCGAGACTCATGGGACCAGGCAACAGTTTCCTGTTTTTAGCTGACAGGAGTGGTCCCAGTGTTGTCTTCTGCTGCTGTAGCCTATCCGCCTCACGGTTGGATGTGTTGTGCATTCAGAGATGCTCTTCTGCATACCTCAGTTGTAACGAGAGGTTCATTTATTCATTCATTCATTTTCTTTCAGCTTGGTCCCTTTATTAATCCGGGGTCGCCACAGCGGAATGAACCACCAACTTATCCAGCACATGTTTCACGCAGCGGATGCCCTTTCAGCTCCAACCTATCTCTGGGAAACATCCAAACACACTCATACACTACAGACAATTAAGCTCACCCAATTCACCTGTACCGCATGTCTTTGGACTGTGAGGGAAACCGAAGCACCCGGAGGAAACCCACGCAAACGCAAGGAGAACATGCAAAACTCCACACAGAAACGCCAACTGACCCAGCCGAGGCTCGAACCAGCACCCTTCTTGCTGTGAGGGGACAGCACTACCTACTGTGACTACCTACAAAGTCACTTAAATCACCTTTCTTCCGCATTCTGATGCTCAGTTTGAACTGCAGCAGATCATCTTGACCATGTCTACATGCCATAAATGCATTAAGTTGCTGCCGAGCAGTTAGACAGGTGTACCTAATAAAGTGGCCGGTGAGTGAAAAATATAATTATGTATAAACATTTTTTAAAGTTAAACTGATTAGCCCTCCTGTGAATTGTTTATTAATTTATTTTTAATAGGAAATCGGTTATTGTTAAGAAACTCTCATGAGTTTAAAAAATAGGTTAAAGTTTAATATAATGTTTCATATTATCAACACAACAGCGTTTATTCAAATAAAATAAAACATTAAAACAATATACTACTTAATAAATAATTGCACATATATTGCGATTATATTTGTCTATATTTTAAACAATTATTTAATAATTTATAATCAGCAAAACAGACATTTAAATATGTGGCATTAATTGAATTATTATTTTTTAATTCAAATGTATATTATGCTGATTATAAAATATTAAATAATTATTCAAAATATAGACAAATATAATTGTAATTTATGTGCAATTATTTACTAGGTTATATATTATCAACACAACATTCATTTATTCATTTTCTTTTTGGTTTACTTTAGTCCCTTTATTATTCAGGGGTCACCACAGCGGAACAAACTGCTAACTTATCCAGCATATGTTTTACGCAACACATGCCCTTCCAGCTGCAACCCATCACCGGAAAGCACCCATACACTCATTCACACACATACAACACGGACAATTTAGCTTACCCAATTCACTTATAGTCTTTGG